CAGCATCTTAGCTGTAGAGGGCAGTGTCACTGGCCCTCATATGTGGGATCCGAACTGGGGCCCTCTGGCGTCCCAAGCCAGCTCTTAACCAACACGCCACTAGGCCAGCCCTAGCTGAGCCCACTTTTGAGTCTGCAGTCAACTGGTGTCTATGGTCCACACACCTTTCTGGCATTTGACTGGTGATTGGCTAGACTAGCAGTTAGATTATTGGACTAGCCCAGGCTCATTCACATGATCGGGGTCTCAGAGTCAAGTTTACTAAAGCACATTGACCAAAGTAAGTTAGAGAACCAACCCAGGTTCAAAGGATGGAGGAAGATAGTCCATCTTTCGATGGGACTATCTTCAAAGTCACATTGCAAGAATGTGGATAGAAGGAAAGAAGGGATTTGTAGTTATTTTTTGGCAATGGACCTCAGTTATTAATATATCATCCTTGTTCTTAAGGATCTTACAACCTTATTATGGAGACAGAACATAAGTTTTAACAAGTAACTATCTGCCCTAAACATATGTGCCAAAAAGTAAGACAGAATAGTGAGGTATCAGTGAAGTCAGGATTTCTCCACTGAGGATATGGGATTTAGAATGTTGTAGGAGGGGGAACGGCACTGTAAATAGACAAAGGTAGGAGCAAATACATTGTATTAGTTTTCTATTGTTGCCATAATAAATCACCAGAAACTCTGTGGCTTAAAATAACATAAATTTATTATTTTACATTTCTGTAGGTCTGAAGTTTGATATGGTCTCACCAGACTAAAAATCAAAATGCTGAAAGGCTGTTTTCCTTTTTGGAGGTTAGAAAGGAGAATCCATTTCCTGCTCATCTGTATCGATTGGCAGAGTTCAGTTCCTTGCAGTTGTAGACTAAGGTCCATGTTTTCTTACTGGATGTAAACTGAAGATGGTTCCCAGCTTCTAGAGGCTGCCGCTCTCCCTGGCTCATGGCCTCCTTTCTCTACCTTCAGAGCCATCAATGGTGGGTTGAATTTTTCTAGAGTCAAATAGATAATTTCTCTATCTATTTTCCTGTTTTCTTACACTTTTAAAGGATTCATAAGGTTAGATTGGGTCCACCTGGATAATTCAGGATAATCTCCGCATCCCAAGGTCCTTAATTTTAACCTTAATGCAAATTCCCTTCTGTCACATAAGGTAGCATATTCACAGGTTCCCGGGATTATGATGCGACATCTTTGGGGAAGCCATTATTCTGTCTGTCACAGACATGGAAGCAGGACCTGTGTATGGCCATGTATGGCTGCAAAGAAAAAAGTTTAAATAGAGAAAAAGAGATGGGAGGTAAGACTGTACAGGTCCAACTACATTTCTTAAACTTATCCTACTTTGGGACCCATGTTATGACTGGCCTTTTCAGGCCGACGCCTTCCTTGACTACACTTAAAAATCTTAGGCCTCCTTCATGATTCTGAAACTTTTTCTTCATATTATTATTAATAAAAAATGCATACCAAGTTTTAATTTTTGCTATTTGTATTATAAAACAATATTTTTAAATATAAAATTATACTTCAAGTATATGTAAAAAGCTACACATCCTTTCCCCACTTTCTTGATCAACAGGCTTCCTCGTCTCCTCGCCTTTAGTGAAATAGGATCTTTCTGTGAGACAACTCATCTGACTCGCCACATTTCAGCTGACAGCTTTAACCTTGCCTACATCACTGTTAATTCAGGAAGTGACTTGACTTGTCTTTGAAGTACCCCATCATCTTCAGGACATTATATAAATTGCATTTGTTTATGAGAGCCTTTAGCTCATTTTATATGACATGACCATATTTACACACACACACACACACACGCACACACACACACACATAAAAGATTATAATTATACAATGTAGGTTTCTTATTAACTAATAGTATGTAATTTTGTGGAACATCCTGTGCCTGACTAGACTCAAAGTTGAATATTCATTTTTTTTCTTTTTTGGTGAATTTCCCCCACCCGAGTTTGTGTCTGCAGTGTCATTACAGGCAGTATGAAGGACCCATTGTCAGGAATAGCAACAAGCAGCGCAAAAAAATGAAGGCTCTTTGAACCTCCGAGCTGGGGTGGAGATTAAAGGAGAAAGGCTTTGTCTTAAGGACTACCTTCTTTTTTCACAAAAGAAATCAGTCATTCTTTAGTCTGAAAAATGTAGGAAAAAGAGAACTCATTTGAGAGATGAAAATCTGAAAGCATAAAGGAATGGTAATTTGCTGTAGCTAAAAATAGACCCACCTTGATGCATTTCCATCACGTGGGTTGTTAGCAGCGTGTCCAGGCTTCGTCTGCAGAGAGCTGATGTCAGAGCCTGCAGTCAAGAATCAAACACAGTTGGTTTTAATGTGCTTTGCTCCTAAGTGGAACACATTTTAGTGATTTCTCTTTTAGACTCTCCTCACAGAGATAAGGGGAGGCATAATTATTACAGTTTTGGGTACAGTCATTTATAGAAAGACTATCTACCTATGTAAACTAGACGGTTGAAGTCCCTGCCTTTGTGGGACTTCAATTCAGTAGGGAAGAGAAGCACAAAAACAAATAATTACACATGTAGTTCCTTCATTAGAGTTGGTATAAGCGACAAGAAACAAAAATGTGAAGCGCTATGAACATATATAAAAGGAAGAACTAAATTAGTGTGGGGTGTCAGAAAAGGTCTTTCTATGAAAGTAGACATTCAAGAGGCCCGAACAATGAGCTGGAGTTTATCACCTGAAGCTGCGTTGGGAGCTGGAGAGGGAAGAGGATTCCAGGTGCCATCCAGGCAACAATATCTGTGAACTCCAAGGTGAGGACCATATTTCCACATTTCACTTTACCCCCATCCTTAATCTGGAAACTGCAGACCCAGAAGATTCCAGAGTGTCTTTCTAGGTGAAGACAGCCTTTTCTTTATGAAAACCTTCCTGAGAGAAGCAGTCAGCAGCAGGTGACCCCTGAAAGAACAGCTTTCACTTTAAAGAGATAAGCACAGAGCTAATGTTTCAAATCAAGTTTTTAATTTCAACAAACATCTTACATCTAAACATTTCTTTTTTAAAATTTTTATCATCAAGCCAATCTCTGGCATGATTGTTCACCTAGCCTACACTGAACTTCAGTTCCAACGGGCACACCCTGAAACATGTCATCACCTAGAACAAAATCTTAAAATTCAAATAGCTCCTCTTTGACCACAATCTTGTGTCCTTCCAGATTGCCCCTTGGACACTGTGTCTGCACAAGTTCTTTGATTTTATTAAGATGTCTCTCCACTCCTTGAACTCTCCATATTTTCTCAATACCCTTCTCTCTGTCTTTGATTTCTTTCTGATCCAACGTGGACAATGTAGTCCGTCACATCAAATCCTCTTGACAACACCCTCATCTCTACTTGACCCATTGTATTTTCTCTGCACTCAACTGGCATGAACCCAATCATCCCATCCAAATGTTGGCCCTCTACCTGCCTGTACCAAAGCTGATGAATGTTTATGGAGGGTCTTTGCACTATATTCACAGAGGTTGTCAGGAAGCTAGTAAGTTCAAATTCATGTTCACTGACTCCAGTCTCAGTGCTCTTAACCTTCACTAAAATGGCAAGGAAAGATTTGTCAAGTCTGTTTCACTTCTGGCTTCATTTTGTGATGTCAAAATACGTTAGTCCATTTGCACGGACAGATTATCATCTCACTAAAACAACTAAAGGCTTCACAGTAGTTTTGATAGGCTTAAGCTGGGAAATAAAAATATTTCTGAGATTTGAACTCTCGGTGAACTACACATATTTTTAGCAGGCCTTTGTGGGTATTTAGCAGAGCCTGTTACTGTTTTTGATTAAGACTGGAATTTCAGTTGCATTTTGGATTTTCAAAATGCATTCCTATTGTTTTCTTTTCCTTCCTCCTCTCCTCACCACTGCTGCCTGCCTCTGCATGATAACTCTTTCAGGTAGATACTATGGGTTACCAGACCAGATTCACATGCCTCTCAGAGACTGTGGCATCAGCAGCTCTGGCAGCAATGTGCCAGTTGGCTGGTCATCCCTCTGAAACCTTCCCACGCAGACTTGTTTCAGATGTAGCACTGAAAGGAGAGACTCTGGTTGGAAGGAAGTCATAAATAAAAGTGACAGCTTGTAATTTCCTCATGTCTTTTATTTTGATATTTGCAAGTGGATTATTTGAGATGCTAGTAGGACTCTCCACATCTGTCCCTTTGAAGAAGAAGCACAGTTTACTTCTCTTTCCCTGATTTTCAGAGTAGTTATATTCTCCTTAACAATTACATGCATTTATTCAAATGTGCTGTTTATCACAAGTCCTGTCTTGCACATCACCTCAGCAATAAAGTGTCTCTATTAATTTTCACACTTTAGGAAGAGAAAATTTGTGCGTTTTTATACTGGCATATAAAAAGAAGTATTAGTGTAGCATTGAAGAATGCAGATGGGTTAGTCAAATTCTCTGACAAAGGAAGAGCTCATAGAGATCTGACTGACATGCATTCTTCAATGCTATAAGTTAACGTCTATTTTTATGGAAAGATAGTTCATGCTCATGGACAGGAAGACTCCATAATGTCAAGATGTCAGTTCTTCCCAACTTGATCAATAGATTCAATGCAATCACAGTCACAATCCCAGAAGTTATTTTGTGAGTATTGACAGATTGATTGTAAAATTTATATGGAAAGGCAAAAGACCCAGAGCAGACAACACAATATTGGATTAGAAGGACAAAGTCGGAGAACTGACACTATGCAACTTTAAGATTTTCTATAACGCTACACTAATCAAGCTAAATTTGACATTGGTTAAAAAAAAAAAGACAGATCAATAGAACAGAATAGAGAGTCTAAGAATAGACCCTCAGAACTATATGCAATTGACCTTTGACAAAGGATCAAAGACAATTCAATGGAGAAAGGATAGCCTTTTCAACAAATGGGCCTGAAATAACATCCATCTACAAACAAACACACACACACACACACACACACACACACGCACGCACGCACGCACGCACGAGGTCGGACAATAAAGTTCTCAAACTCATTCTAGAAAAAGTGCTACATACATCATTGCTGAATATCACTATGGTTACCTTTGAAGTACTTCCCTTGGGAAGCTATGCACCAATGCCAGAGCCTAGTCTGTCCTTCAAAGCAATTTTGGAACTCTTTTTCTGGAATGGCCATCAGGGCTGTCGTCATATTACCCTTGATGTCCTGAATGTCATCAAAATGTCTTCCTTTCGATATTTCCTTTACCTTTGGGTAAAGAAAGAAGTCATTGGGGGCCAGATCAGGTGAGTAGGGAGGGTGTTCCAATACAGTTATTTGTTTACTGGCTAAAAACTCCCTCACAGACAGTGCTGTGTGAGCTGGTACATTTTCATGATGCAGGAACCATGAATTGTTGGTGAAAAGTTCAGGTCATTTAACTTTTTTATGCAGCCTTTTCAGCACTTCCAAATAGTAAACTTGGTTAACTGTCTGTCCAGCTGGTACAAATTCATAATGAATAATCCCTCTGATATCAAAAAAGGTTAGCAACATCATTGCAACAAGTTCACTTGTTATATGTAAGACTTATGCCTTTCACAAAAATTAATTCAGAATAAATCATAGACCTAAATGTAAAACACAAAACTATAAAATGTCTAGAATATAGCACAGGAAAAAGTCTAGGTGCATTTAGGTTTGGTGATGGTTTTTTGGATCAAAACTTAAAAGCACAATCCATGAAAAAAATTCATGAAAAAATTAATAAACTGGACTTCATTAAAAATAAAAACTTCTGCTCTATGAAAACCACTGTTAAAAGAACGAGAAGAGAAGGCACAAATTGAAACAAAATATTTGTAAAAGACATATCGATAAAAGACTGTTATCTAAAATATGCAAGAACTCTTAAAACTCAACAATAAGAAGCCAAACAGCCCAATTAAAAAATGGGCCAAAGACCTTGGCAGACACCTCATCGAAGAAAATAGACAGATAGCAAATAAGCATATGAAAGATGCTCAGCATCATATGTCATTAGGAAATTACAAATTAAAGCAACAATGAGATACCACTACATACCTGTTAAAATGGCCCAAATCCAAATCACAACACCAAATGCTGACAAGAATGCTGAGTTGAAGGCAAAATGGCACTGCCACTTTGAAAGACAGTTGGGCACTTTCTTACAAAACTAAAGATACTCTTACCATATGATCCAGCGATCATGTTCCATGGTATTGACTCAACTGAGCTGGAAGCCTGCACATGAATGTCTATAGCAGCTTTATTCATAATTGCCAAAAATTGAAATGTCCAGGTTGCTCCCGAGAGCCCCTACTTCTTCTGAGGTTCAACCTCACTCCAGTAAACTCTTGGAATTTCAGTCCTCTGCTTTCATCAGCCATCCTCAAAAGCTTAGATTTGTGCCTCCCGGGCAACTTTTCTTCAAGTGTGTTCCTCAGTTTTAATTCATGGAACAATCATCAGTCAAAAATGTCATTCATCTTTTACAAAGAGAAAAAGAATTTTAAAATGGGCCCTCTTCACTCTTGTTGTTGTTGTTGTTGTTGTTGTTGTTGTTTTTTGCAAGAAGTGCTAACATTTCCTAGTGACTCTGGTCACTCTGTAGGGACAAGTTGATTTGTCTCTTCTTTGAACCCTCTCATCTCCTATGAAATGAGAGAGGCCACACTTATCCCTGTAGCATTCTCTCCTTTAATAAAAAGGAGGTCTTTTTTAGTAACATCAAGGGATATTTTGATTGAGTTCATAGAAATTGTCCTTGGTCATTGAACTTAATGATTCTGGATACCCCGAGTCACTTAATACCCTGCTGTGGATTTATTGTCCACTAACTAACTGACACTCTTTCTAAACCTAATTACTCTGTGGTTTCAATTGTGCAATTATAAAACCCATTCCATATAATATGAATGGAAGTGTGGTGACTGGCCTCAATTGCTTTGGCTTACCTCTTCCAGTGTACCAGGCTGGGACCATCTTTCATTTTGGGAGAATTTCTGATCCCTAAAATCTGCCTATTGGTCCAGTGGTTAAATACAGATATTTAGAGGTGATCTGTAGAAATATGGCCCATCTCCCTAAAAACATAATTGATATTTTGGGCAGATTTCCTTTGGACTGGGAACCAGGGTGTGAAATACTATGTCTGTAACATTACATATTCATTTAGAATTCAAATGTGTATATAAAACTGTGAAACTATAAAGATGTGGAGTGATTTTTAAGTGGCTGACAGGTAGACTCATTTGGTGAAGTTAAGCAGGACTCTCAGGGGAGGGTGGGTAGTGGGGGAAGACAATGAGATAAAAACATAAGTATCATAAAGATGGTGTTAAACAAAGTCACCAAGAGGAAAAGGGGAAGAGAGGAGCAGAGAGAGAGAGGTCTGGTGGTCCCAAGAAGGCAAACCAACATTGCCGGGGCCAGGCCATAGGAGAGGCTGGAAGTAAATGCTCAAAAACCTGGGCCGTCTCCTGCGTCAACCAGAGGGCTTAAAGTCTGTGGGAAGCAACACAGACATCGTGACTATGTAACCCAGAGAAGTTCACTTCATAGGCGTGTGGTTCTAGATTACAGGATAACCTGACACGCACTCCCTGGTATCAAGCTCCTCCCCTTAACTCACCCCTATCCTCAACTCCTTCCTGCTCTGCCTCCCCCACCCTTTTCCCTATGCTGCCTCAGGTCACATTGAACCTGTATTTGCCTCTATTTTAACAGGGGTTCTCAACCTTTCATGGGGGGTCACCTAAGACCATCGGAAAACACATATTTTCGATGGTCTTAGGAACCGAGACACGGCTCCTCTATCCGTCTCCAGGCCCACATACGAGTACTCGGTGACCCCTGTGAAAGGGTCGTTTGACCCCCAAAGGGGTCGCGACCCACAGGTTGAGAACCGCTGATTCAGCACGAGGGAAA